AAACCTCAGTATTTATACCAATGTAGCTCACACCAGTGAAACGTTTTACATTCCCTCTACCCAAAATATCTTTCATTTCTTACCTTTAAGTATCATTTCCAATAGCTGTATTAACATGTCTCGTTTACATTTCTCTCTTCTTTACTATCTTTATTGAACTGGAAGGAAAACTAAACCTCAGTATTTATACCAATGTAGCTCACACCAGTGAAACGTTTTACATTCCCTCTACCCAAAATATCTTTCATTTCTTACCTTTAAGTATCATTTCCAATGCGTGTATAACAGATCGAAAACCTTGCACTTCCTCAGTTCTTGGAGATCAACCCCTTTCTTGACTGACCAAGACACATAAGGATAATTACCAACGTATCCTACCATACCTGTTGAATACTTTTTATTTTTTGACCTATTTTTTTAATATTCCTTGAAAATATTTGAAAGAAGATGTGAAAATCCCCACGATTTAGTATTTCCTCATTGACGTAATATCTTTCTATAATATGTGTCATAGGTTCATACAAAACCTTACCTGCCTTCTGGTGTTCCCATGTTTTGTGACCTCCTTCTATCGCTAGAGTCTTGATTTTTTTCATTGATCGACCTATCGGTGCATTTTACAAAAATAAAAACAAATCATAACTAGTCAATCAATTAACGAACACCGTGAGTGAAAAACATGCAGGTTTCTGTGTTGAATAAACTACTTAAATAATTAGTTGCTTTAACTATCAAAAAAGTCCAGTTTCTTATATTTACTCTTTCAAGCTGATGGTTTTCACGATCTTTGTGATTGTATGGTTTCATCTCTTTGACTATTTTCACTCTCCCTCCTCGTACAGTTTTATCATAACGGCAGTGACTGCTAAAAATTCTCAATTTCAGCTAGAGTTGGTTAAGCCTTAAAATATATTTCCTTCTTTGTAGAATTTATTCACGGTCATTATTTTCATTAATCTTAGAAAAGTTGTCATCGTAAGTAGAAAGAAACAAGTACACTAACGAAATGTCTTTCTGTATTACTCGGAAACATTAGCTTGTCTAAAACCTTGTGAGACTTTTTAAGTTCATTTTAGCAACGATCTGCCAATATCTAATAAGACAACAATACTTTAGTTTTAAACCTACTTGGTTGTGGAAGTTTGTTTTATGTGGAAAATGTTCGATAAAATTTCAGATTTCGAAAGTAAAACTATGGCTGACGTTGAGTTAAGAATAGTCTAAGTTGCCGTCTTCTGTCTATATGTGATTCCCTTTGCATTAGAAATAAACTCACCAATGATATAATTCCTGGCGTTTCATCTCAGTCCATTGCATGATTGAATAAATATTTTTTCTTCGCCTCTAAAATTTCCTTACCTAGAGACACCATTCTGGTTTCCAGTGCTGTCCGTTAGGGATTTGTAGAAAGTAAAGTGGTTACAGAATAATTGTTTGTCAGGCTAAACATCTAAGGGGTACTTAAGAATGGAACACGTGTTTCGTTTTGCTAAGTTAACTTTTCCTTAACATATTTATTTAAACTTTTAACTTGAAAATCCTGATATGCAGTATATTGTTTAAATGGATCTTTGTATCTATATTTGCCTGATTTTGAATTTTTTTTTAGTCTTGTAAGATTCTCTAATAAAGAAGAAACATTAAACTTTAATAAACAGAATATATTTGTGGTAGATTTGTTGTATTGTATTTCGTCAAGTTTTTATCTCTTACTTTTCTAAGCAGTAATTTTAGAAAGTTATTGCCATCTTTGTGTCATACATTTCCTTTAAATATTTTGAGGAAGTGTTTATAAGTGGAATATACTGTTTGACTCTACGACTACATTTTTTTTCATGTAATTTTGAATTAAAAAATACAAAATCTCAGCGTTTACTTTTGTTCCGTCATTGCAGGTGTTCTTCCGAGCTGGTGTGCTTGGTCGGCTAGAGGAAATTCGTGAAGAACGCTTGAGTAAGATCTTTACATGGCTACAGAGCTGGATAAGATGGTATCACTGCAAGAAAGAGTTCAAAAAGCTACAAGAACAGAGGTAAAAAAAACAACAACTGAATTTTAGAATGTTTATAAAATCAACGTTATGGTAAATAATTTCAAAAAATTATAAATAAGAAAACATTCATTTTTCCTTGCATAGAACTTATGTGGCAAATTACACAGTGAGCAGACCGAGAGCATTTAATGCTATTTTCATCATATGTGTGAAGTGGGCGTGACCTAGTGAACTTGAGAGTCCAAGGTTCGCGTCTCAAAAACGATTTCTGCATTTTTGGGTCGTGGGTGCGTTACAAGAGTGACAGTTAAATTCCACTCTTTGATTATTATAACCCAAGAGTTGGTGGTAGTTGCTATATACCAGCTACCTCCCTTCTAATCTATCAATTCAAAATTAGGAATGGCTAGCACAAATAGCCATTGTGTAGCTTTGCGCGAATTTTCTAAACAAATGGAACACAGCACATATGTATTAAGTCTTTAACTGTTTAAAAATTTTGAACCACATGTTATATTGTCACATAGAAACATAAGCTCGTGCTTTCTTCTATGAAAGAAAATATATGATTTATAGAGCTTGGAATGTTTACTTTGTGAATTCAACATTAAACTTAGCTTTGTCTTTCTTCTCTCTCTTTGAACCTTTATTGTTTGTTTTAGGGTTGCTCTGCTTATCATTCAAAGAAACCTCCGCAAGTTCTTACAGCTTCGAAACTGGCTGTGGTGGAAACTGTACTCCAAGGTACGATGTTTAGGCTTAACTGTTAATACAGAATTGAACTTATTTCTTTCAGTTCATGGGTTAATCAGGTTTAAACTAATCTGTAATCAACTTTCGGAAGGTGGTCATTAAAAAAAAAAGAACTTCTTTAGCATGATGCGATTTCTAAAACAAAAGTGTTAAAGAGCTCCAAACTTTGAATATCTCTACAGAAGTCAGCTTAACAAATCATGCTAATTAATAGGAGATGATTTATACATAACTTAAAAAACACAGAACCCTCTAAGACTAAATGTTGGCATTGTGTGTTTCTTGAGTTCATTGAACAGAACGAAAATAAAAGGTTAATAAGATAGTACATTAAGAAAAGTTGTGTTTCTGGTCTTCAGCAGTATCTTAATTAGAATTAAAGAAGAACGAATGAACTTACTAGACGTAATTAGCTGGCCACATTTCTCATTTTACTCGAATTAATCTGTAGGTCAAGCCTCTTCTCAGTATGGCCAAGGTAGAAGATGAACTCAAGGCTTTAGAAGAAAAACTCAAGGCAGCTTTGGAGGCCTTGGAAAAAGAGGAAAAGATAAGAAAGGAGCTGGAGGCTCAAAATGTGAAGATACTTCAGGAGAAAAACGATCTATTCTTACAACTTGATGCTGAAAGATCCTCTTCTGGAGATGTAGAAGAACGACTTGCCAAGGCCTTGAGTCAGAAGGGAGATTTAGAATCTCAACTCCAGGTAAGTTACGAGTTTCTTGTGCAGACAGCTATTTGTTTGAGTCGTCTTTTTCCCGAATGTTTCGCTGCGATAAAATGGCCGATATTTTTGCCTTTAAGCTCTCATAAAAAGCAATCGAATTTCTGTAAATATAAGTAAGTTATTATAGGTAAACATTAATTTCTTTTATATGAATCCTTAACACTTAGCTTATATTTCATTTGTCAAATATTCACACCTAAAATACAAGTCAGCTTCATTAGAAAATAGGTTATGGTGAAACGAATTTAATTTGAAAACACAAAATTTATAAAACCTAAACCCGTAATATACGGTATAGTAAAAATAAAAGAAAGAAATTCGACTGACTAGTGCACGAAACTTCAAATAATTTACGCTTCTAGCTTTGGCTAAGTATCATACCTTAGTATAAAGATTCAAGCATTCTACAGTGACAGGAAAGGAAGTGTATGTCGAACATTACTAAACCGTGGGAATTATAGTATCCTTTCTTAGGTATAGAAATATGTATTTATTAGACAGTCATTCACTATAAGATAAGGGGGAGAGGGGGATGCTCTGGTATAACTCTCTTGCCGTACCACTAGGACGTTAGTCTTTTTTTTCTTACACATATTCATATGCATTTATTAGACCAGTGTTTCTCAGCCGGATTTGCCAGACGACCCCGCGTCCAGGCTTTGGTCGTTACGACCCCCATTATCTCTACAAGGATGAAAAAATTCTTGATGTTTCTTGGCGCAATTTGTCATAATTAATAAAAAAGATGATATGTACACCTTTCAGACACACCTCGAGGAGTCAAAGAAAAATGTTGACTCAGAGCAAATAGCTCGTGACCTCCTGGAAACCTGCTCGCGACCCATCGTTTGAGAAACACTGTATTAGACAATTGGAGACTATAAGATAATAGATATCTTGTAGGTTTAACTTGTTGGAAACTTTCGGAGTGGAAGAGTTTGTTACTTTTTCAGTATTCATAGCCATACGAAGTACATCAAGTTTAATTCAATAGTGACGCACTTTGATCCCCTCTTCAACCGAGTTTTTGGATCAAACCAGAGAAATAACAACAGAAGTAGTTTACATTTTAGGTAAAGGATTAAATTTTGTACAGTTTTTGTGACAGAAAAGCCTTTGCTTTTCTTATCAAGAAAGTTAAAGAGTTATTTCAAAATTTCGAGAATGGCAGATGTGAAATCTAAGCCCAAAAATGTTGTTGAACATATCTGTAACGATACTTATACTTTAAACTTTTCTACTGAATAGGACCTGAATGAACGTCTGAATCAGCAAGAAAACTCAGCATCCCAAATGAGTCAGAACAAGAAGAAACTCGAGGGGGACATCTCTTCGTTAAAGAAGGAAATTGAGGATCTTCAACTTGCTCTGCAGAAGGTAACGATAATCATTCAGAACGTCCTATCGCTCTGCAGAAGATAACGATAATCATTCAGAACATCCTATTTATATCCTGATAAATAAATTGCGGTCAATATGGCCTCACATCTTTTTCATTTTTGAAACTGTTTCCCTGTTATTGTAAAGCAATTATTTGACCTGGCACGTGTCTCTGAACGAAGAATGATACATATTATTAGGGTTTTATTTCACTCCAAATTATAATGTATAAATACAGCGTATAATCATATAACGTGCAAATCATTATATGTTCTATACTGCTGTTTTTGCTTTAAAATTACCACTCTCAATAATTTTCTACAAAATGTACATTTGGGAATCATCGAATTCACATAACTAAGGTATAAGGTAAAACGGTAAGATCAACGTTATGGCTTAAGGATTTCTTTCAGTGTAACAATGTCGTTTATATACAGGGTGGGCCAAAAGTAGGGTTACAGATACTCTATTATTTGTTTCTCCTTCACAATCACGTTTTAAAGGTTGAAGGTGGACACTTTGAGCACTTGAGAGATTAAATGTTTAATGTAAAATGTCTAATATGTAAATATAATGTATGTAAATAAATGTCTAAATTTCTAATAAAGGAAAAATGTTTAAGTGTTAACTGTAACCCTACTTTTGGCCCACCCTGTACTTTTTAGATTGATGAGGTTATCAACAACCTTTCGGTACTACAAGTTGTTGATTTACTGAAGGAACATTTTAAATTGTAATCTCCCATTTACACACGTTTGGGGGAAACTCTAAATTATTTAAAATATTCTCTCCCAAATAAAACAAACAAACATTACGATGTTTTGATCAGCGTATGATAGGTTTGAGTTAGGCTGTGTTTAATGAAACTTCTGAATCACTAATTTTACTTTACAGGCTGAGCAAGACAAGGCGACCAAAGATCACCAAATCCGAAACCTGAATGACGAGATCGCCCACCAGGATGAACTTATCAACAAACTGAATAAAGAAAAGAAAAATTTACAGGAAGTTCATCAGGTAGGTTTAGAAATTATGCTCTGATATATATATTTGTATTTCAGTTTGTACTGGTTAATTATTCTTAATGGTGTTTTAATTTGAAGTTTAAGTGATGATTTTTCTGAATATTTAATGACTGACTTTAGTTTTCATTTTTTTTAATTTCGTTTTCTCTTTTGTTCTAGAAAACCTCTGAAGACTTGCAGAGTACCGAAGACAAAGTTAACCACCTTAACAAAGTCAAAACTAAGCTAGAACAGACTCTTGATGAGGTATTCCAAAGTTTTGCATCACGCAAAGGCTTAAGTTGTAGTACTTGCATGTTGTCATGACACAAAGGCTTAAGTTTCAGTCCTTGCTTGTTGTTATAATACAAAGGTTTAAGCTGCAGCTCTTAAATGTTGTCATGATAAAAAAAGCTTAAGTTGCAACTCTTGAATGCTGTCATCACACAAAGGCTTAAGTTCAGCTCGTGTATGTTACTTGTCCTTTAAAAGTTGTGTTGGATCTTTTCTAAAATATTAGAAATATTTTTTTAAATTTTGATTAGTTTATTACATTTTATTTTATGCTTTGAGATATTAAATTTTTATGTGATATAATTTTAGAATAATATATTCGTTAAACTTTTAGACATAGTTCAGACATAGTTAGTGTGCTCGGACTGTGAATTCAAGGTTTCACGGTTCACTTTGTTATTGTAGGTGTGTGATATAAGAATAACGACCAAAACTCACTGTTCAATCAGAATGCCACAAGGGTTGGCGGAAGATACTGTTGACTAGCTGCCTTCCCTCTAGATAACTTTCAGTGTAGTTTTACGCGAATATCCTGAAACTAACTAACTCACGATTGTAAAACTTCGGGTAGTTAACGAATACATTTTTAACTGTGTAGTTGGAAGACAACCTTGAACGGGAGAAGAAACTAAGAGGAGATGTTGAGAAAACTAAGAGGAAAGTGGAAGGTGATTTCAAACTTGCTCAAGAAGCGGTGATCGACTTAGAAAAGAACAAGAAAGAAATGGAACAAGCTCTTCAGAGGTTTGTAACTTTAAATAACACAGACCTGCGAATTAAACTTCATAAAAGTTGTTTTGGTTTTAATAACGGATTTCCCATAATTCAACTACTCAGATTTCATTACTATCTATCACGTAAGGATTTTTTTTACAAATCGGGAAGAAAAAAAAATTCTTACTTAGATCAAATTATTATTTCGTTTACCACAATGAACATTTTTTATCATGATGTTTGTTATATTTGGGTTCCAGAACGATCGATATGACTCTCACGTCGCGATTGGCCTAGAGAAATCTACAGCCAGTGGTTGTCAACATTTTAAGCATAACAAAATGAGACCCGAGTTCAATGAAAATGATTCACTTATGTAAAAGTACATATGACGTTTTGTGAAAAATCTGTATGTGATAGAGAAAAATGGATATCATTTTCAGATTTAGCGTACAGGAAGTACTGTAGAACATGTAAACATTTCAAGACAATAAAACCATCGCAGGCCTGTTTAATTAAATAGCTTCGTTGGCTAATAATATTAGCTGAAGCAATGAAACAATTTTCACAACCCCATGATTTTTGTCTCAACAGGAAAGAGAAAGAAATAGCCAGTATCTCTGCCAAGTTAGAAGATGAACAGAATCTGGTCGCTAAGCTACAGAAGCAGATCAAAGAACTCCAGGTAAGGGAAAAGTAGTTTTACAGTGTGTGTGTGACGTTTATCAGAAATTTAAATCATATTTAAGCTTCGTTCTAATCGTTATCGAAAATAAGCTTTAAATATATTCAACCACAGTTCCCGAAGCATTTTTGTTTTTCTTATAAAAATATATGTTGATTATTCGTGCGCATGTCTACCTGAATATAAGCTGCTGGGAAAGAGACGTCATTCATCACTTAATTTGTTTGTTGCTTCTTTATGCACTACATCCATCAGATATGATGTCTTTGTACTTTATGATACTTATTAAGTTAAAACAAAGATCAACAACTAATAACTCACTAATATGCAAAAGACTGAAAACCTGTAAAAGTTTATAACACTGACAGTAATTTTTGTCTCTTATAGTTTTAGTGATCAGCTCTTAGTTATTATAGTGTTTGTCAAAATCACAAACCAGTCGTGTAACTATAGTGTTTGTCAAAGTCACACACTAGTCGTGTCACTATACCGTTTGTCAAAACAACACATTAGTCATGTCTCTATAGTGTTTGTCAAACCCAAACACTAGTCGTGTCTCTATAGTGTTTGTCAAAGTCACACACTAGTCGTGTCACTATAGTTTGTCAAAATCAACACATTAGTCGTGTCTCTATAGTGTTTGTCAAACCCACATATTAGTCGTGTCACTATAGTGTTTGTCAAACACAAACACTAGTCATGTCTCTATAGTGTTTGTCAAAACAACACATTAGTCGTGTCTCTATAGTGTTTGTCAAACCCACACATTAGTCGTGTCACTATAGTGTTTGTCAAACCCAAACACTAGTCGTGTCTCTATAGTGTTTGTCAAATCAACGCATTAGTCATGACACTATAGTGTTTGTCAAACCCAAACACTAGTCGTGTCACTATACTGTTTGTCAAACCCACAAATTAGTCGTGTCACTTAAAGTGTTTCTGAAACTCAAACACTTTGAACTTTAACAGGAGTTTCTAGTGTTTAATGAAATTAGTCCACAAAATTTCTAAACAAAGAAATTATATAAAATTTAACTATCAGGGCAAGTTATTTTTGTTGGCAAGAAACCTTAAAGTTTTAAAATTTAACTCAACACTGAGTATTTATGGCTCGGTTGAGTGATGGTTACCTGACGCAAACTCATCCGTTAACAGATGATCTCTGAAATTTCGCTTTGAGTGTCAACAGTCCAGCAAATCCGTCCCCAATTGGGCGGTTCTGAAGACGGTCCACAGAGTAATGACTCACGCTTCATCGCTCTAGAATGTGACTTGTGGTAGTTAGTGTGCTTTTAAGGAATCGCGTCGTTTCTGTGGATACTGTTACGTTACAGTATACCTGTTGGTAGTGATGATGTTAGAACTTTCAACCTACAGAAAGAAGGTGTTAGCGAATTTGAGCAGTCTGAAGAACAGTGTAGAGAAAATAGTTTGTGCTTGAATTTCAAAGAACAAATTCTTTCTAGTGATATCAATTCGAGTTCTTTCAGCGAAACGCTAGAATCTGTACGTAGTTTTTACATAGGGTTTTCACGATGGAAGAGCAGTCTGCTTCGTCTTTACTGAAAGATCCAACTCGAGACCCCCAAGCTACTGCTGATTTTCTAGAAGACAATGCATCGTTAATCACTAGTAGGAGTTTGGTTCTCAGAGCAAAGTGTTCTGAAAACTTTGAAGTTAACATAAAACCCTCACTGGAAAATGTTCCGATTCAAGATAACCCATTGACTGAGAACGTTTTGGAAAAAGATGTATTTTATCCTCTCCAGAAATCTAACTACCATTCCCCTGGGAGTCTTTTGTCTGTGGCTAGTAAAAGAATTATTCGCACAGCTCAAGAACCCGTTTTCACAACCTCTCCTAGCACTATTCATTTCCTTTATGAAGTAGGGTTTATTTTCTTAATTTTAATTTCATGCTCGATATTGCATCGTTACTTGGCGGTTAATAGTTCTTTGCTGATTTGCAATAAACTGTAGCAAAGCTCTGTTTTTGTCAACTGACAACTTATAAGGATAATCTGTGTAATCGAACTGAAATATGTTTTTATTATATCTGGCTAGGAAGCTTGCATAACTGATATTAAAGGTATGATACAATTATTTCTACAAATATTTTTTAAAGTAGCTTTCTGCCCACAGCATGTTGTAATTAAATCAGACATCTTTCAACGACGCACTCAGCACCTTATCAAGCTTTTGCAATGGAATATGAGAGTATGGTGCATGAATATCACTGTTTAGTTAAGAATGTTTTTCTAAATAATGCTAAACGTCTTTAAATATACTCGTATTTGTAACAAATTCATATAACAAGTTGAATATTTAAGATTAAAATATAAGTAATTTCCCGAATACAAACCGTAGTTGAATCCTACTGTCGGTTAATCATCGTGAAAAGTTAGTCGTTTTGAAATAAGAGTGAAACATAATCAGCTAAAATAGAAATCCAACAGATAAGTTCCGAAAAACTGCAAGACAGGGTACTTACATTAAAGTTACACTATGTATATTTAACTATATTACGTTTTACTTAGAAAGTCAATTATTTACGCTTATAAAGTTGAAATGCTTGTTCTGTAAACCCTCCAATATATAGTCCAATATGTTTTAAATCCTAACTCATCTTTTGTTTTTAACAGGCCAGAATTGAAGAGTTAGAAGAAGAACTTGAGGCCGAAAGACAAGCCAGGGCAAAAGTAAATATTTTAGATTTTATCTTTGTATCTTAAGTTATTTATTATGCAATTGAAAGCCATCTTGTGAAAAAGTGGTTAACTTGTTCTTACACTGTAATAACTACATAGGTATTGATTTTACCAATACTGTATACTAACTGAATATTACGTTTTCTAGGCCGAGAAACAGAGAGCTGATCTCAGTCGTGAACTGGAAGAACTCAGCGAGCGATTAGACGAAGCTGGTGGTGCCACTTCTGCTCAGGTAAGTTTATTTATGTACATACTTTTGTTTCCAAAATGTTGACTGTGGCCATACGCCTAAAATGTAGCAAATAAAGGAATTTTTATTTAGACGTGTGTTGTTAACCTTCTTCAATAATTGTTTGAATGCTATCTATATCTATCGGGTTTTTTCTACTTCTTGTTTTTCTAACATTTATGACGTATATTTACGAAGCATTTAAGGCTGTATCTGTTATCTCAAGACCATGTAAATGCTATTTTTAAAGAGATCCTTGTACAAATTGTGAGATAAATTGTTTGCTACTAAATGTAAAGCAAGCACATCACTAAAATATTGGTTTTACTAGACTTATCTGATAATTGGAAGTGATGATGTTAGCTACAGTGTTCAGTTTTGTCATTTGATAAAGTAAGTACATTTTTGTGTTTGGCAGATTGAAATGAACAAGAAACGGGAAGTGGAACTTTCCAAACTAAAGCGTGACCTCGAGGAGGCCAATGTACAGCATGAACAGATCCTCTCAAATCTTAGGAAGAAGCACAACGACTCTATTGCTGAACTCAGTGAACAACTTGACCAGATGAGCAAACACAAGACCAAGTGAGATACTTTATAAAACCTTTTAAATTAAAACAAAATTCATGCTTACCAAACTGTAAAAAGCTACTCTATAAGAGATTGTAGTGGTAATATGTAAAGGTAATAACACCGCGTATATACCTATGTTTCAAGTATTAATATGTAAAGGTAATAACACCCCGTATATACCTATGTTTCAAGTATTAATATGTAAAGGTAATAACACCACGTATATACCTATGTTTCAAGTATTAATATGTAAAGGTAATAACACCCCGTATGTACCTATGTTTCAAGTATTAATATGTAAAGGTAATAACACCCCGTATATACCTATGCTTCAAGTATTAATATGTAAAGATAATAACACCACGTATATACCTATGTTTCAAGTATTAATATGTAAAGGTAATTACATAACGTACTATATCTTAGTTTCAACTTGTGCATAAATCTTGAATTTAATTGTGTCTTTCTTTGATTATTGCATGATATCTATTGAAGACTTCTTTTAAGTGGAACTAGTGTAAGTTGTGCCAGATTAGGGTCATTTGGATTAAATGGTGAATTTTGTGCAGGACTGAAAAAGAGAAATCCCACATGAAAGCTGAGTTGGATGATATGCGCGCCAGTCTTGACCAAGTGAACAAGGAAAAGGTCAGCTAACAATCATTTTATATTACAAGCATTTTTAAAGCTTACTTGGAATAACCATTTTTTTCTGGTGTTTTTATCTAATAATTGTAAAATCCTTAGAAGTCAACTTGTCATAATTTTTGGTGGTTTAATTAATTGAACCTTTAAGATAACATGCTTTAAATGTATTCATTATATATTACTTTACAAATAACGAAATGTATAACTTGATGCGATCTGAATGTAGGCCAATTCCGAGAAGAGCGCTAAACAACTGGAAGTCCAACTACAAGACTCTCAATACAAATTAGAAGAAGCTAATCGTTCACTGGGAGATTTCGATTCCAACAAGAAAAAACTAAGTGCAGAATGCGGCGAATTTCAAAGACAGCTAGAGGAAGCTGAATCTCAAATTAGTCAGCTCAACAAGTTAAAGATGTCCCTTCAGACTCAGCTAGAGGATACCAGGAGAGCAGCAGACGAAGAAAGTAGAGTGAGTTCAACTTGAACATATTAATTACACTTTCGAATCCTTATATATCGTATCATATAAAATCTAATTCAATTTACTGTAAACAGCTTCTCTAACAAAATGATTAGTCAGAGTTTATTGACAAATGTTTTTATTGTAAAGTTCAATACAAGTAAACATTTCTAAAAATTGTTGTTGCAAAATAGTTGGTTCGTGAAGGAATTAAATAACGAAAGCGTAATTGTTAAACGTACATTCGTTACCTTGGTGATGATTAACTCTACTTAAGCTGAAAATCGACATGTAGCCTTACTGGAACCCTTCGACTGAGTCCGATATTGATGAGTAAAAATAATGCAATGCGAGTGTTGAATAGAAACTATGATGTTGGGTGTATTCACGAACACTTGGTTCTCTTATTTCCTAGGAGCGCGCTGCAGCGATGGGTAAATGCAGAAATCTGGAACACGAACTGGACGGCCTGAAAGAACAACTGGATGAAGAACAGGAGGCCAAAAATGATCTCCAAAGACAGCTCAGCAAAGCTAACGGAGAAATTCAACAATGGAGAAATAAATTTGAAAGTGAAGGTCTTGCTCGCGTCGAAGAACTGGAAGATGCTAAGTATGATTTTCATTTTGTGTCTCTAACCATTTTAAACGTATAATGTCGAAATACTTACCTGTTTATCAAGTGAAAATAATTAACTGTTATAAGTTACAATAATGACTCAGCTCTAGTTCTAACCATTGGCAAAGTTAGGTTTATACTGTGGCAAGGCTACCCAAACTCCCTGCCTCCGTCCCTAATTTTTAACTACTAACCAGGGGGAAGGTAGGCACTCAACCTTACCCTAACATCCATCATCCACGATAATGGATTGGCTGTCACTTTTATAATGTATGCACAGTCTAAAGTGCGGGGAGTATTTTGTAGTGTAGCACGGATTCAAACCCATAATACTTACCACAACTATCTCATATTCACTGCATTTTAAAGTAATTTATAGTTTGTAATGAAGTAAAAAAGCACAATAAAATAATCTACCATTGTCCAACTGGTCTAGTGGTTAGTGTGGATCAGAGGATCCATGGTTCGTGCCCCGTTACCGCAAATAAAAATAGCTCTTCGCATTTTGGGGCTGAGGGTTTGTTATAAGAGGAATGGTAAAATTCCAACCCCACTCATCGATTACAGTAGATCAAGAGTTGGCGATAAGTGCTGTTGACTAGCCTTCTCTCTAGCCTACCAGTTCAAAATTAGGGACGGCCAGCGGAGATAGCCCTTGTACATATTCCCGCGAATATCCTAAACAAATAAACCCAACTTGATCGTTATTGATATTCCATTTGTCGTGTCTTACCACAGACACAAGCTTCAAGCAAAGATTCAAGAAGCTGAAGAGAGTGTCCAACAGATGAATGTTAAGTGTGGCAATCTGGAAAAGGCCAAATCTCGACTTCAAGGAGAGATTGAAGATATGTCCATTGAGGTCGAGAGGGTGAGTACTAACATTAAATAAGTTTAATATTGTTATCTTACAACGTCTGCCCAACATGTTGCACTTCTTGTTACATAATGGCAGTATATAAATAGGTTAAAAGTTGAGTATTACATTTGATAGTTGCACTATGTTTTCAGATTCAATCTGCTATCATACGCACGTGAAGTTACTTGTTCTTCTTACTGTGAAGGACGTTTCGTCTGAGTGATAAGAGCATTTTAAAGTTGTTTCAGAAATTAATAGTGATCTTGTTTTGTATATCTCCTTAAAATTTGTGTGTTCCTTTTCAGGCCAACAGCCTTGCCTCTACGTTAGAAAAGAAACAGAAATCTTTTGATAAAACAACAGCAGAATGGAAGCAGAAGGTGGACGATCTCCGTTCTGAGCTGGACGCCTCCCAGCGGGAATGCAGGGACTACTCTACCGAACTCTTCAAGTTGAGAACTTCGTATGAGGAGAGTCAGGAGCAGTACGAAGCTGTTAAGCGTGAAAACAAAAACTTGCAAGGTGAATATGTTATTGACATACAAATCGAGTAAAGGTGAATATATTATTGACATACAAATTGAGTAAAGGTTTAAATAAATTTGAAACTAAAAAAACTAGTAAGGTGAATATATTATTAACATATAGACTTTGTTAAAGTTTAACTAAATCTGAAACTAAAGAAAAAAATAAAGTGAATATATCATTAACATACAAACTTAGCTGAATTTTAAAATTATATTCAAAGCTAATAAAAGATCAAAAACGTGCACGATAGTCATATTGTTAATATATCAATGTAATGAAACTATAACTGTCTAAAAGGGCTCTGAAGACAAATAAAATAATTAACTCTCGTTTCGAAAATATCGTTTTTGATCTGAACAATGAATTTAATTTTCCTATTTTTAATAGTAATTTGCACTAATTTTTCATGACATAATTTCAGTTATAATCAGTAAAATTAATTAGTTGTAGCTTTTTATTTCAATAATTCAAAATGTACTGTTTTAACCTTATTTTGTGCATTTCGTCATCAGTTTTTAAAATGTTATTTGATACTAGATGAGATCAAGGACCTTATTGATCAACTTGGCGAGGGAGGTAGAAACGTCCATGAGTTGGAGAAATCCAAGAAGAGGTTGGAGATGGAGAAGGATGAACTCCAGGCAGCTCTGGAAGAAGCAGAGGCTGCATTGGAACAGGAAGAAAATAAGGTTCTCCGATCCCAGCTTGAACTTTCTCAGGTTCGTCAGGAGATCGACCGGAGGATTCAGGATAAAGAGGAAGAATTCGAGAACACAAGGTTTGTGTACACATGTGTAGTTTATAGTTTTTTATACCATAGTTAAATGAAATGGGTTTGAAAAACTTTGATTTTTATTGTATTCATCTTGGAAATATATTTTATACATGTATAGGTTCATTACAGATAAGATTTAACGTTTGGTAAAATGGAGGAACAGCTTTTATTTTCAATAGCCTATTCTTTGTTGAATGATTTAATAAATATGTATGCTAATTAAAAGTTTCTTCATGTTTAAAATTGTTTTTAAAGATGGTATTTTTTTTTTTTTACTTTCCAGGAAAAATCACCAGCGAGCAATCGACTCCATGCAAGCCAGCCTGGAAGCCGAGGCCAGGGGTAAGGCAGAGGCCCTGCGCATGAAGAAGAAGCTGGAGAGTGATATCAATGAGTTGGAGATTGCTCTTGATCACGCTAACAAAGCCAATTCTGACGCTCAGAAGAACATCAAGAAGTACCAGCAGCAGATCAAGGAGCTTCAACAGAGCGTGGAGGAAGAACAAAGAGGGCGTGATGAGGCTAGGGAACAATACGCCATGGCTGAAAGACGTAGCCATGCTCTCCATGGTGAACTGGAAGAAAGCAGGCAACTTCTGGAACAGGTGAGTAAACTCACTACTTTAATTTCAGACCAATTAGTTGGGTCGAAAGTACTAATATTTCTCATTTAATGTTTTAACCCTAAACTCTGAAATAAGAAAATGGTGGCTGTTTTAGTCATCCATCAAAGGATAAAAAGCACTAGAACTGCCTTTCTACGATAATTTAGTATTAGAGCTTATCACCTCTTATAGGTAAATATTTATTTAAAAATATGTTTTCCCTCCATTAGTGTCAATATTTTGATGAAAGTTCATTGCTTTTTGAAAATTAATTTATCTATAAAAGACCTGTTTTCAGTGCTTAATTGGTCACTATGCACTGAAAGAATGTCCAAATGTCATATTTACTATAATCTCAGGAGCAAATGCAAGGTTGAAAGGTGTGATGTTTCCATACTAATATTGTGAGTGAAACCACGATGGGATTCCAGTTGAAATTAAGGCAACCAAAAAGTTAAAAACGTTAGAATTCCAAAAAAAAAAAAGGAGAAGCAAAATGCTAAACAGATGAAATAGTAAAAATATTATACTTTTATTTTTCTTATTTTAACCACTTTCATTGTCTTAGATCGTTCAATGATTGATAGACTTAGGTATGATTGACCAGGCTTCAACCAAAATCATAAGAAATATCTGAAGAACATTTATTGTTGTTTCAGTGAAGTGTATAAAGTATTTTAGATGCCATAAACGTGCTGAAAACCATTCTTACAGTGCACATCAAGGTCAGAGTGGAATGGCCTTCAAGAAAAGTAGCCTTGTTTTGGAAAGACTTTTCATCAACACCACTTCCCCCTCAAAAAAAAAAAATCAGGAGTTTCATTATGTTTCTCGAAGTAAGAGATTAAACCCTATACTCACGATTTTAGGGTTATAAAAAATAAGATGTAACACGCGTTACTCACAAGAAAGTGTAAAAAAATATGCAAAGTGCAAGGTATAGTGTGAGTAGAAATCAGAGGGAAAAATACTATCCACCCAACTTGAAAATCTAAATAGACATATAAAATTATAACAATCAAACGTCTTGTCTAGGTGTCTGATACTTGTATACTAATGCCTTATGGAACTACAATTAACCCTTTATTTTACTTTTTTATAACTTTCTTATTATACATATCTAATTGCCGTATACCAATTTTAACAAACCCTTCCTATTTTTTTCTACAAGGCTGACCGTGGACGACGGTCAGCAGAAACAGAGCTGGCGGATGCCCACGAGCAGATGAACGAGCTATCCGCCAATTCCGCCTCCCTGTCTATGGCCAAGAGAAAACTCGAAGGAGAAATGCAAGCCTTGCAAGTAAGACATACTATTGATTTTTTTTAATAAACATTGATTTGTTCCTAGTGAAAAAAAAATTGTAGCACCACGCTGTAATATACATAAATGTGAGGCTTTTTCAGTCCTTAATGTAAATATTTTTTGTTAATTGCAAAATATTAAACTTATCTTCATACGAATGAAGTGTATGTTAACTTTAATATTGCACTTAAGTTGAAACATTCAGTTTCTTTCATTCGACTCCGTTTCTAGTAGATTTGTATGGCATAAAGATAAAACAGGATAAAGATAGATAAAACTACAGATAAAACAGAATAAAGATAGATAAAACTACAGATAAAACAGGATAAACATAGATAAAACCACAGATAAAACAGGACAAACATAAATAGAACCACAGACAAAACAGGATAAACGTAGATAAAACATGCTAAACATTAATATTTCAATTAGTCCGATTTGGATGAGATGCTGAACGAGGCTAAGCAGTCTGAGGACAAAGCCAAAAAGGCCATGGTGGACGCTGCTCGCCTTGCTGATGAACTAAGAGCTGAACAAGAACATGGCCAACAACAAGAGAAGATGCGTAAGGCATTAGAAGTTCAAATGAAGGATTTGCAGGTCCGCCTGGACGAGGCTGAAGCTGCTGCTCTTAAGGGTGGAAAGAAAATTATCCAGAAGCTGGAACAAAAGGTGAATATTATCCCTCCTCCAGTTAATCTTATAAGAACTAAAACGTGGGAAAACACTCTGCGTTGTCATAACGATTTTTTTATATATTTGAACAATATTATTTTCCATAAAAATTATTGTATTTTGTTATTGTTCTAATCTTCATTAAAGAATACTAAAACTTACTCCTTAAGTTAACTATCAAAAACATATTCTCCTGTAATATAATATTGTGAATTATAATTGGTTTAAGTTATAATTTGTATGTGTTTTAATTATGAGAAAACTTACACAAACCACGGTTATTTGCACAGTAAGCTTTACCTGTTGCAAATAACTTTATAAATCAAATCTTATTATTTCTTGTTTTAATTAATCACTTTTAATCGTACGAACGACTAAAACCCACGTTTAGTGATAGTCAAACTATGGTGTTATTAGGTGCGTGAATTGGAGAATGAACTAGAAAATGAACAGCGTCGTTATGCGGACGCTGCCAAGAATTCCAGAAAGGGAGAGCGCAGAGTTAAGGAGCTCCAGTTCCAGGCTGACGAAGACCGCAAGAACCACGAGCGTATGCAAGACCTGGTGGACAAACTGCAACAGAAACTCAAGACTTACAAGAGGCAGATCGAAGAGGCAGTGAGTATATCTCTACTTTAAATGGCATATAAAATATTTCAGTAACTTGCGGATACTGTGTGTTGAAAGCATTTGTATAATCACCAAGACGTACTTATGCAAGCTAGCATGGAGAATGTTAACATTTTATTATCATGAGTTCTATAAATGGAATATGGGATTTCGATGTTAAAATATTCAGATTTAAATATTAATTGGAATAAATAATGCCACAGTTAAACTATCAAGGATTACATATAACTAGATGCGATTATGTATAAACGTTTTAAATATCTGTTTTAAAGGAAGAAATTGCTGCCTTGAACTTAGCCAAATTCCGTAAAGTACAACAAGAGCTTGAGGATGCTGAAGAGAGAGCTGACATGTCTGAGAACACACTTGCCAAACTACGAGCGAGGAATCGTAGCTCTGCCTCTGCCAGTCGAGGAGGGAGCCCAGGAGTAAGTAACAAGCCTCCTTGTAATAAGTTCAAAATAATTTGATGATTAACAGGGACATAATCTGATTGTGAATATAGCTTAGCTTGTGATAAATGCAAATTGTTTAATTTTTCTAATAAGTGATATTTAATACTTAACTAAGAAATGGTTATGTAGAATATCTAATTTGTTTGTATTTTCTGTTTTTTGTCTTTTTCTGATTAACATTTAACCCGATTATTAACATTCAATATATTTACATTTTCTGGTGGTTAATGCATATTTCTTTCTTTCTCTTTCTTGTTTATATAACTACTTTTTAGAAACAAAATATGTCAGAAACATCCGTAATAGTTGTCTCTTCTTTATAGTCAAATATTTAAGTTGATCTAAAGTAGCTCCAGTAGCACAGCGGTATGTCTGCGGACTTACAACGCCAGAAACTGGGTTTCGATACCCGTGGATGGCAGGGCACAGATAGCTTTGTGCATAGATTAAAACAAACAAACAATCTCTAAAACATAAATATTCCTTATAATTGATGCTTTATTTTAAAAAAATTTGATTTCCATGCCAGATTGATAATAGTTCTACTTTCCATCATTTCTAGCCTATTTTGAGGGCAAGTCGTCCTAGAACTAAAGTTGGAGCTGATGAGGAATAGGCGTTTTCTCTTATATATACATTATTCGTAAGTCAATTTTTATGGGCATATTTGTAAGTTATTTATTAGATTTGTAACTTCCTACTTACAGGAAGATACCTTAAAATTCTATTTCGAATAAAACACCACAAAAATAAAACCTTAATTTTTGGTAAATGAGATTTATATTTTCACATTTGGTATTATGATTAACATCGCATATAAAATGACGTAATTAGTCATACTGAGATTAACAAGCAAGTCCCAAAGAGGTATTTTGTTTAGATGCTACGTTCAGATCATTTGAAGTATCACGATTTTCATTTGTAGTGCATTGTGCTCTTGTTCTTCTGTTGTTACTTCCTTTTTATACATATGCGAACAGTAGCGACTAGCACTTTGCAAAGTCGAACCTTATCTGTTGCTGTGACTGACATAAACGTTTAATAGAAACGTTAAATAGATATTTAGTTTAATGTGTGAGCCATAGTTCATAAAGCAATCGCTTTAGTAAAATCAAAACAAATATTTAATTATTATTTTATTTGTGTTTCATACACAATAGTGAGCAAAAAGCAGGAAAAAAAGAAGCCTTAGTTGAGAGTTAATCTGTGATAAAAACTAGAATAAAATAAGTAGAATGGCAAGGAGGCCAGTACTAAAATTCATCATTATGATTTTTTTACAAAGTCCTTTTCCTTATCTTTTTTTGTTTTTTCTTCTTGAATTCAGGTCTTCCCCGCTTTCTTCCACGAAGGTTTCCTCAGGAGATTGATCACTCGCAAAAACTCCCTGATCGCTGACTAACCCTATTGACTTTTATGAAATTGAAAACTTTAAAATTTTGAAAAATAAAAACAAAAAATGGAACGTTCGGTATGTGTGTACGCCTTGTATGTTTACGTGAACTTCGAAATTTAAGACATGGCATGAACCAGATCATCGTCTTTGCTATATAAAAGTGGTAGAAGTAACTACAAGTACGTTTCCTGTGTAAAAGACCATCGTTCGAAGTTTTCTTCCTGTGAAAGACTGTGTGTGTGTGTAGATGAATTGTATTCTACATGATTTGACCTTTAAATTAAAATCATATTCTGAATTTTGCTTTTGTTACCCTATTTACTCATCTTTTTTTTTGTTGTTGTTCAGTGACTAGTAAATATGTGATCAAACATACATGAAAATTGCAATTTGTGCACCAGACATAACTGTGTAATCTTGATTAATTCAAGATTATAACGGTCTAAACTGGCAAATTCTAACACAATACCTCAGATGATTATAGATTGTATAGCTTACTTTTTGGCTAAATGTTAAGATATATAGCTCACTAAACAGTAGACATTTAAAATATTGTAGAGACAATACAAAAGGTTTAAAATATTGTAGAAACAATATAAAACGTTTAAAATATTGTAGAGACAATAGAAAATGTTTAAAATATTGAAGAAACAATATAAAATGTTTAAAATATTGTAGAGACAATAGAAAATGTTTAAAATATTGTAGAAACAATATAAAATGTTTAAAATATTGTAGAGACAATATAAAATGTTTAACATATTGTAGAAACAATATAAAAATTTTAAAGTATTGTAAAGACAATAGAAAATGTTTAAAATATTGTAGAAACAATATAAAATTTTTAAAATATTGTAGAGACAGTAGAAACTGTTCAAAAAGCATAGAAATAATAGAAAAGATTTAAAATGTTGTACAGACAATAGAAAACGTTTAAACTAAAAGTGGAACTGATCATGACCTAGTAGTTAACGCACTGTATTATAGATTTTTACCCCCACCCCCACCCACCTCCTCCCAAAAAATCGTGCTCAGCGCTTCGGGTCAGTGAGTGCGTGGTAATGATATCAAATACCACTATTCTATCATACAAAAGTAGCTTAAGTATTGGCGGTTGGTGCTGTTGACTATTTGCCTTCCTTCTAGTCTATCAGCTCAAAATTAGAGTCAGCTAGTACAAATAGTCCTTTGAGTAGCTTAACGCGAATATCTGAAACAAATAATAAAAAGAGGATTGCCAATACGTGTTTTAATAGTATACCTATGTCCTACATGAAAACGTTCCAATTTCTACACATCTATGGATAATACACTATACACTGGAGAAAGGCTATCTTCCAACTGCTAATAGCACTCAAACTTGGAGCGAAGGGATACTAATGGACGCCTTCACAGTTGAAAAGCACCCCCGCCCCCCAGTGCCACAGCGTTAAGTGTGAAGGCTTATAACGCTAAAAACCAGGCTACGACACCTATGATGGGCACAGCACAACTAGCCCATTGTGTACATTTTGCTTAACTACAAACAGACAAACAAATGTAATTAAAAGACATTCGTGACTTCTTCTTGTCAAACTTTTTTAATCAATGTTGTTAGTACATTATTGGCTTTGTTTTTATTTTGTTTACATTTGCCAGTTACAGCAAAAAATGTTTCCAAAAAAAGGGGGGGAGGAGGGTACCCAGTCGATTATTCAATGTATTTTAATCATTATAGGTTTTGGTTTTTATTTATCGTGAAGTATAACATTAAACATTTCTAATCAGTTTGTTATTTTTTAGTTCTGATATTTTTAGTTAAAATCTGCTTTGATCAGAACTACGTGTACGCCTGTCACTGTCTGATGTTCATCACTCGTTACCTTCATCAATACATATATCGAATAATGTTTATGTTGCATAGTTAAGATTGCGATAGCTCCTCCATACTTTAATTCAGACTGGATCTAATATAAAATTAAAACCTTAAAAAGTGAACCAGTTATCTCCTAGACAGAGAATCAAATGCAAATTCTCACAATCCATCTGACACTCTCGTGACGTCATTGCACAGTGTTAGATTAGTACTGATATCCCTCACAGAACTAATTATACTCACCATAAACATACCTATTTTTGATAAGACAGGAACAGAAAACTAAACATATCAAAATGAGCTCTCCAAATCACTTCAAAATTAACTCACATTAATATTACCTCTTTTAACAAGACAGAAATAGAAAACTAAACATGTCAAAATGAACTCCTGAAATCACTTTAAAATTACTTTGCACCAATAAATTGGAAACTTACAACAAAAACAACTTTATTGTAGTTTTAACTAAAACAAATCAAAACAAGCGTAATCAGAGAGATTACATACCCTCGTCCCGCCGCTTCTTTTCGAGATTGCATGCGTTTATATTGGATAACGTTATATCCAAATCCGGATCATCTTTGAAGTGTGATGAGGAGTCTCAACCTTAATGTCCCCATGAAATGTGGCACAAATCCAATTACATTTTACAGAGTTATTAACCCCAAACCGCGAATCAGGACCAAATTTTTGGAGGACTGTTCGGTACTGACTTCCCATCTTGTGTAAATTTTTCGTGTGGATCGGTCTATTAGTTTTCGAGATACTGCCTGGAAACACAGACAGACATACACGGACCCAATTACAGTGCTCTCGCTTCCCCCTCCGGAAGGGGAACGAGAATAATTAGAATACAAACAATATATGAAATCAGAATCTTAATCACATCACGAAAATAAAAAGTGAAACTGAATATTCCCTGTAACACAATACAATTCTCGAAACCGTACCATCACTGTTATAGCTTACCCACGGCCCCAAATTGTGAAGTGCATTTTTTTTTCGGTAACTGATTCACAATCCAAACACACCACCCACTAAACCATACCAGGCCGTACAGAAAGGTAAATTAACATAAAAATAAAGCAAATGCAAATGCGCTGATTATCACATTTTTAAAACAGACGTTCAAATGTAATATCCAAACGCCCATGAAACAAATAACGAGATAATGAAGTAAAGAAATCAGTAATTAATTAAATAAAACAGCATTATTATGAACTAACTCAAAGAATACCCAGAATACATAGCATCGGATAAACAAGTAAACACTAAAAATAATCAAATTAAAGTTCATGACCAAACAAGCTATATTTGTAGTTTGTTCATCATTTGAAATCAAGAAGATGGCCTGGTGATTAGGGCGTTCGCCTCTCAAACTGCAGGGAGTGTTATAATGTAACGGTTAATCTCACTTTTCGTTGGTAAAGAATAGCCCAAGAGTTGGCGATGGGTCTGTTGATTTGCTACCTTCCCTCTAGTGTATCACTTCTAAACTAGGGTGCGTGTGTGTGTGTGTTTACTTATTTTAGAGCAAAGCCACATTGGGTTATCTGTTGTGTCTACCGCGGGGAATCGAGCCCCGGATTTTAGCTAGCGCGGATAGCTCTCGAGTAGCTTTGCGCAAAATTCACCAAACAAGCAAAACCCGACACATCAATTAACCAACTCATTCAACACATAATAACACGATGACTTTATAAAGTGCATTCACTATTTTCTGTAGAAGACTAACCGTGAAATTAATCTTACCTTATGGCTGGCTGTAATATGCTGATTACACTTTCCTAGTGGTCCTCAAAGTGTGGTCCGCCGGCTGGTACAAAATGCAAGTCACATCTTACCATTCTTACCATAAATTCTAATGATTTCTTCTTTTTTTTGCGATGGCAAACGAAAGCAAGTAGGGTATGACCATAAGATGGTCCGTGTGTCTTTTGTTCTGTCGAAATGGTGCGCAGACGAAAAAGTTTGAAAACTACTGCTCTATACCATAATACTATCTAGAGTGTGAAGTTAAGCTTACCTGATGGCTGACTGTAATGTGCTGATTACTCTATACAATACTAATATATAAGGTGTGAAGTTAAGCTTAACTTATGGCTGACTGTAGTGCTCTATCACACTATTCAGGACTACTACTGTGGTGTTCCCCATTATATAGCTTTCCAGCGGATAAGACAGTTACGGCCTGCTAACTAGAGGTTCAAAAAATACCGGACTGTGGAGTGTGTCAAATTATTTATCCGCTCTCAAGAAGAAATAATTAAAGCTGAAAGGTGTATGAGAACAGTAATCTATATTTACAAAGAGAAAAACGCAATACAAAACAAAAATAAGTGTGTTTGTGGTGAGAAAGTGTGTCAACCTGATAAAATAAGACAGTTGTATTAAGCCTAATGGATTAGTGCGGTGTAAGGTGATTATAGAGCCCAATAATAAAATGAACTTTTTCCTATCGAGGAAGCAAGCAGCATTAGCTCGGGTACTTATCTGCCCAAGAAGTAATAAAGTTCTAAAGTTGCTCTGTTATTATAGATCATTGACTATCCATTTTATCTTCCAATGATAGGTCAGGTGGTATCTCGAGGTTATGACCTCCCCTATTCTTGAATGAGAATGGTCAATCACTTGGTTAACACTAATCGCAATGGGTAAATCCAATGTTTCCTATTGAATAAAAAAAAATAGTTTTTAAACATTCATGTATTGGTTCCTGAGTGAATTGATGAGTATGAATACATCTCGATGGAAGAAAATCAATCTAATCAACTCACGATTTCAGTGAAAGACAACCACCATTCAGCGTCTAGAAGCAAGTATGCACACTGTCTGTTGTCTTTAACCAATAAAGAGGATTTTAATTATGTATTGCACATCAAGTCCAGTCTGTTTATTTCTCTTTTTAAAAATTAGTTAGTTTGAGCCAAATTAAGCAGTACTTCGTACTGTCGATCGTCCTGTTACAAAGCAGACCTACCTAATAGTCTTTAAGGAAGTCAATTTACCCTGAAAATATCACAATGAGACCTCCAACATATTTCTCATTTAAAAAACTGTATTACGGATTTATGCTTAAGAATTACTTCAAAACTTGTCAATAGAAAAATTCTGAACCAAATATAAAAATAGCTATTCTGTACAAGGTTTAATATCGTACATATTGTTACGTCTCCGTTCGTTAGTTGATTTTCCGTAACTTCGTTCCGGCGAAACTTTAGCGACACAAGTCCTTTCTTAATAAAACTGGTTTATTCTTTCCGAATAAAACTTTACGATACACTTAATTTCAACAGTCGCGCTATAACAAACGCAATATCTCACGTGGCCAACAATATTTTGTCCGCATACATTCAATTACTCATTACACTGTTGTTCCGTCACGTTGT